TGCACCCCCTATTGCCCCTCCCACGGCCCCCCCTTCAGCACCCATTACTGCCCCACCAGGTACTACATTGCCTTCCACTGCTCCTCCCGTCACACCTCCTTCCATCAAACCTTCTTCCCCCGTGACTCCAGTCACAACTTCTTCCCCCATGACTCCAGTCACAAATTCTTCCCCCATGACTCCAGTCACAACTTCTACCCCCATGACTCCAGTCACACCTTCTACCCCCTTGACTCCAGTTATCACCCCTCCACCAGTGGCCACGATAATCACCCCTACTCCAGGGACCCCATTGACCCCAACCCCCGGCACCAATCCAACGACCCACCCGGCGACGCCTACTACTACAAGTACGCCGCTTACACCTTCCCCTCCTGGTAGCAGCCCTGGTACGACTAACAAACCCACTGAAGCTCCGTCGTTGATCCCGACTCCTGCGCCCACCGACGCCTATGGCTCGCCTGTCCCCACCACGACCGCACCATTGCTCCAAGTGGGGGCTCCCAATGAAACTACTACGGAAGCCCCTTCGACTGTAGCACAATCCAACACGACAGATAACTCGACGGACGACGGAACCACCAACACCATCACGACTGCCAAGCCCAAGACAACCACCGCTACCACTGCCCCTGCCATAACCGCCCCCCCATCCTCGGGTGTCACCAACCACGGCTATCCCATCCTGTGCAGCGCGCTCGTTATGCTTGTTGCGGCTGCTTTCGCGTAACTACAGGGAATGACGTATTAAGCGCCCCCGTGGTACTTCGAATTGGCATTTCAGTTGTGTATTGGGACAAACTACTTCGAAATTTCAATACTTTAATCAATACGAAATTTTAGTACCACGGGGGCGTTTAATACGTCATTCCCTGTATGTTAACTCGTCGCGTTAGTTTTGTGCAACGTTACTTCGAAGTAGAAACTAAGCAGAATATCACCATTTATGTATTTGATAATTCGTGCATATGGGCCCAACTACTGTAAAGCTGATCGTTCTTATGCGGGTGTTTACAATACACAAATATGTCCGAACATATTCCGTTCGGACACTTTCACTCGGACAAAATATGTTCCCTTAAGTCCAATACAAATGTCAAGTATGTCCGACTGAAATTGTCCGACGGTGTCTGCAAAGAGATCATATTCACCCATAGATTTGGGTTTGGTGGCCGTAGAATATGGATACTGTACTGTGGCATAACGATGATATTGGTATGCCACCGTACAACTCCCCGGTTGTGTAGGGGGGGGAATAGCTCAGGTGGTAGAGCATCGGTTTCTTAACTCAAAGGTCGTGGGTTCGATCCCCGGATTCCCCGGATTATTTCCGCAAGGATTTATCCGTCCCTCCCCTGGGGAATCCGGATAACAAGGGCCGCGTACGAAGACGAGGACCGAACTTCGAAGATGATCGGTCGAAGCACGAGGTATGAAGCGTTGAGACAAGTAAAAACTGAAGAACACCGCCCCTGGTCGTGCAGGCGCGTTACAATTGGCGAAGCGGTTCCATAACATGTGGTTCTAGTGTCGGCCCTCGCGGAGGGATGTCTTAAAATGATAATCCAAACTCAATTAATCCGAGATTGTGTAAAACAGGTAAAACAGTTTCACTGTTTCTTTTCTCAGAAATTGTCATTTATATGGGATTTAGTATACACTAGCCACCTGACCTCTTACTAGGGGTTACTGTAAGTGCATCTAAATGGTTAGCGATAGCTTACCACTGGGGATACAGCTAACCCCAGGGATTTAGAATTATATCTACCAGGACAGAGTCCCAGGGCACAGGCCTACGGTTTACTACCGGTAGTATAGTAAAGTGTATCCGGATTGGAATGAATTAATATTTCAGGTCAAACAATAATGAGACGTTTTTATCAGGGAATTGCACCATTCCTCTACGTTCAAGAATCTGGGGGTCACCTAACCCGCATTGGTGTGTCACATTTCTCAAGCAATTGTTGACACCAAACAAGTCTCACAATTGCTGCATCGTAAGCAGACACATGAACACACAACTGAGATTTTGACGGGTAATATGTGCAACTAACTAGTACTACTAGTAGTAGTAAAGGACAGTACTGAACTGGTACACGAAACCCCTTTGCAAATACGAAAGCAAAAAACTAAATGTTCCTAGAAGGGGTACATGTCAAGGCCATGGCGTGTTGTTGGGGAGGTTCAAAACGATGCGCGATTTGGAGCGGCACGCCATGATTTGCGATGTGTTGGGTGTACTGTATACGCGAGTTGCCCTTGCTACTGTGGATGCACGATATTGCCTCTTCGGCTACTGTGGAAGCATGATGTTGTTTTTTCGGCACATAGTGGTCTCTGCACAACGACTTATCCGAATCCCACTTTACCCCCCCCACGTCTTTGCCCTTCAATCCAAGACCGACCCACACAACACCACCAACGATTGTCATTTTCCAAATCCTTTGCTTCCAACCATGCGCCTTGCCGTGACGATTGCCGCTTGGTGTTCGATGGTGGCTACCGCCATGTCCGTCCCAAACGACGTGAACGTGCTTGGGTACCCGTCCTTCGACGTGCCATCGTTTCCGTTGAACGGTCTCACATTGGCCACCAAACATGCCATGGCCAGCGCCCTTGAAACGACCGGCATGATCTCCCTTCGCGAAGTTCCTGGGTTCCAAGCCGCCCGCCGACGCTACCTTCAAGCAGCGGCGGACTGTGCTACGTCCAATCCGGTGGATTTTGACCAAATTTTGTCCAAAACGTTGATGGACGGCACCATTCGACGGACGTTAAGCATCAACATGAACGGCGTGCACGACGCCATTGCCGACCGATGCCCTGAGTTCGCCACGTCACATGCCCAGTACACGACTGTCGTGAACCACGCCACGGCCAAGTTTGCGGCGGCGCTGGACTCAATCAACGACGACCTGACAGCAGACCATTTGCTGCCCATCGTTCACGAGGGCCATCACTTGGATCATTTTCACGCGTACTCAAACACTGGAAGCGAAACCTCAAAGACGGAAACTAGCGCCCCGCTGTCCCTAGAACTGCATGCGGATGCAGGGTTGATGATCATCATGGCCAAGCCGCTGTTCTTTGCCCGAGCGGAGGGGGGGGTGCGCTCAGTCGAAAACCCAAACAAAAAACAAGCAGGACTTGTGATTCAAGTCGACGGCAACCTTGTGCGCCCCGACCTCAAAGACGACGAGTTGTACTTGATGGTTGGCGAAGGGTTGCGGCTGTGGGGGAACTTTGGGTTCCATTTTCACCCTGTAGTGCACGGCATGGTCATGCCCAAGGAAGCCGACGCGTCTGTGGTGCGAGCGTTCGCTGGTCGCATGCTTCTACTTCCTTCCACGAAGAAAATGACCAACACGGGGCTCACCTTCGGGGCTTACTTGAATGCGACCACTCGCTACTTGAAGCACGAGTCGGGGGTCGAATCTGCGATGTCCCTGGCTTGTCCTGTCGGGCGCGTCTTGCAAGCTAGCGACGAGAGCTGTACGTTGGGCTTGTGGGAACCGGACGAGGGCAGCACCGCCACAAAAGAGCAATGCATGCGCCAGTGCAATATCTGGGGCCACCCGTCCGATGACAAGAAATGCGTCGCCATGAAATGCAAGAAGGTGGGAGAAGTCCCTGGCGGGGGCAATGATTGCTGGATGATGTGTCTACCCCACTTGACCCCGGATCAATGTCCTCCTCCTGGAGAAGAAACCTGTAACTCTCCTATTCGACAACTTTATTGCAAGATCCCAACAACTACTCCTGCCCCCACAACCCCCAAGCCAACCCCGTCCCCCACTCCTGAACCCACAACTACCACCACTACTCCTGCACCTAACACAATCACACCTGCACCCACCACAACCACGCCTGCTCCCACCACTACCATGCCTGCTCCCACCACTACCATGCCTGCTCCCACCACTACCACCCCTAAGCCAACAAATTCACCCACACCTGCACCCACCACTACTACTCCTGCACCCACCACTACTACTGCTGCAC